TGAGGTTCTTCCACTTATTTCCATTTATTTTGGCTTGTTTTGCTGCTTCTTTTTATTTTTGGTTGTTTTGCTGCTTCTTTTATTGATTTTTCATTGTTTTAGTTGCTTCTTTTACTTTTTTTTTCTTTCCTTATTTTTGGTTGTTTTTCTGCTTTTGTATTTATTTTTGGTTGTTTTGCTGCTTCTTTTATTTACTTTTAGTTGTTTCTCTTTACTTTTTTCATTTTTTTGTTGTTTTCCTGTTTTTCCCTTTTTTTTGGTTATTTTGCTGCTTCTTTTATTTATTTTTCATTGTTTTGTTGCTTCTTTTACTTATTTATGATTGTTGTTTTTTTCCCTTTTTTCATTATTTTTGGTTGTTTTTCTGCTTCTTCCTCTTATTTTTGGTCCTTTAGCTTAACCACCATTAACCCCCCAGGTGACCTCCATGGCCCCAGCAGGAGGGACCAGAGCCCCCTTTGGTTTCCCCCTAATTCTTTAATTCCAGCTACAGTATATTAACTCAGAGGGGGCTGAACCCTCTCCTCTCTTCCAGGTCTTGCAGGAGGAGATGGGTTTGGCCCAGCTGGTGGAGATCTTCTGCACAGAGGGCTTCAATAAAAAGGCCAAGCTGCACTACCTGGGCCCGCTGCTGTCCAACCTGAGCCAGCTGCCCGAGGCCCGGAGCTTCCTGATGGACAAGGACAGGTGGGGTCCACGTTCAGGGGCCAGACGGGTTATTCCACAGTTTTTCCGCTTTTTCCTCTCGTTTCAAGTCCAATTTTGGTGTTTTTTTTCACTGTTCAGCCTCTAAACTCTGAGTCATCCAGGCAGAAAAAAGGCCCCTAACTCAAGGGATGAGCCAGCGTTGTGTCCAGCTCAGCAAAGATGGTGTTCACAGGTCAAACCTTAATCCTCACCGAGAGATTGAGATGAAAACCAGCCTCATTTCTGAGCTTCTTTTAGCTCCAGAGTGTCTCTGAGCAGCAGCTTTCTGCAGCTTTCAGAGTTTTTCTGCCTTTTTTCTCTCGTTTTCAGTCCAGTTTTTGTGTTTTTTCTCTGTTCAGCCTCTAAACTCTGAGTCATCCAGGCAGAAAAAAAACGTACGATGCCTAAATATATGAATTTTCCAGAATCTGAAGTGAAATTCAATCAAGTATTCGACTCGACATCCAAAGTAAATTTACAACTAAGTCATAGAAAAAATATATAAAATATGAAAATCAAATAAAAATAAATAAACTAAGTTAGTTTAAAGTTCACATAGTGAAAGTAAGATATCAAAAAAAGTCAGAGCAGTAGAAAAAAACAAGTATATTTAAAATAAAAAAAGCTAAGTTAGTTTAAAGTTCAGGTAGTGAAAGTCAGAGTAAGTTAGGGTA